CAGTGTTGCATGACTGCGCAATTGTCATTCAAAGTGCGACAGCGCTGAAACTGAAAATTGGCCTGGGCAGGAAGGGGGTGAAAGTGCTGGTAAGCAAGTAGTTAAAGACTGGCAAGCTGCAGTGTATAAAAATCGTTTTTGGGCTTGGATAACATTTAAGAATCTTAAGATGACCTTAGAAATGAGATAAAAGGTTGGGGGGGGGGAAGGTATTGTATTGTTTTTCATTTCAGTATAGGGTCTTATTCATTATCCATTCTAAATTTTAGTTCGAAGGGCTAGTATAGAAGTATGTTCATATTAAAGACCTTTTAACTACTTCTCATTAAAAAACAACAACTTTTTTTTGCTAAATTGATACGGTTATGGGAACTTGCAAGTGGTTCGGGAGCTTCTGTGTACATTTACTTGTCCCTGTTTCTTAGTGTGTTTTTATATTCTGTGTACTACTGACTGAATGCTTTGTTAAAGAGCTAAAAAATTGGGAAAAACTTTTTGTTAATCCAAAGCACACATTGTAATATACTTCAGTGAGGTGCGCATTTCTACTGTGTGAACAGCCCATGGAGAAAGCAACCATTTTCTATATGCCCTTGCATTGAGCCTGTGTCAGTCTATGCAGACATGGTGTGAATGAGTCTCTTGCACTCACCCCATAGTTTTCAGGAACCCAGAATAGTAATTAATAACTGCACAAAGCCGTATCTGTTTGTGGCGAACATAGTTTCCTACTGTGCAAAGTGTTGCATTAAAGCTGATTTCCGGGCAGATATGGAAGACACAAATTCTGGAGGATGTGGGGGATGGGTATTTTTTTTAATCATTAACTGTATTTAAAACGCCTCTAGGAAGATCTTTGAAATCTATTTATATTCGCTTGTAGCAGTCTGCATGGCTGAGGCTAAGGAAGGCTGGATTATGAAGTGGTCAGGCTCTGCTACACTGCACCATAGGAGTCTAAACTTGCTTACAGACAGAGCATGGATGACCTCAGTGTGAAGCTTCTAATCACAAGTTTAGGGCTGTGATCAAACTGTATCTCTTAACTACAGTGGAAAAAAAGAGGTCACCTACTATGTGGCTGGAGAGCACGAGTACAAGATTGGCTCAGCAGAATTACAAATCTTTTGCCAGGAAACACAGTTCACATGTTTGTATTTCAACAGTGTATTTAGTTTGATGGAGTTCAGCTATAACACTTATAGTTGTTGTAGGAAATGCCCCATTTTTAGCTGCAGTACATTTAAGAACAATTGCCACTTCAGAGTGAGATGCAGAAAACACCTGTCTTTTCAGCTGGCCCATGTCTTGGAACGTCCATGCTCTGCTGCTCCCCAGGTAATGCAAGTATTCAACCAGTTGGATGGGTTGAATGCTGGTTTTTCCTGCCACATAAAGGAAAATGGTATTACAGGAATAAAGAATGGAGTATTATAGGAGGAGGGAGGCATTACAGAGGAAAAGAAGGCAGAAACACTAATGGTGGGAAGGAGGTATTGCAGGAGAAGGCAAGTAATGTATACATCCAAAATTGTAGAATGCATAGTGCAGTCAGAGAGCAAGGAAGGGAGTATTCAGAGGAGGGAAGGGGGTTTGACAGAAGGAACTTGGTAACACAGGAGAAGGTAAGGAGGTATTATAGGGGGAAGGAATGTGGCAGCAAAGGAGAAGGAAAGGAGATATTACAGGAGGAAGCAGGTACTATACACAACCAGAATTATAGAATGCATGCCGCAGTCAGGGAGCAAGGAAGGGAGTATTACAGCAGGAGGGAAGGAGGTCTCATGGGAGAAAGGAACTTGGTAACACAGGAGAAGGGAAGGAGGTATTATAGGGGGAAGGAACATGGTAACACAGGAGAAGGAAAGGAGGTATTACAGGAGGAAGCCGGTACTATACACAACCAGAATTATAGAATACATGCTGCAGTCAGGGAGCAAGGAAGGGAGTATTACAGCAGGAGGGAAGGAGGTTTCATGGGAGAAAGGAACATGGTAACACAGGAGAAGGGAAGGAGGTATTATAGGGGGAAGGAACATGGTATTACAGGAGGAAGCGGGTACTATACACAATCAGAATTATAGAATACATGCTGCAGTCAGGGAGCAAGGAAGGAAGTATTACAGCAGGAGGGAAGGAGGTTTCACGGGTGAAAGGAGCTTGGTAACCAGAGTGGATAAAAATCAATGATTTTTTTAAAAAAAAAAAAAAAAATCTGATTTTTTTTTTTTTTAAATCTGATTTTTTTATTTAAATCAGATTTTTTTTAAATAAAATGCTTTTTGAGGAAAAAATATTACCATCCAAAGGTTATTCCATCATGAAATAAAAATTATTTTTTTAATTATGTAGAATAAGGCTGTATATGTTTAATTTTTTTGGTAAATAAATTCCATTACTCCAGTCACATTGTCATGCTCTTCCAGAGGTTTTTATAAGATTATTGGGCAGTTTCTCTGCCTACAAGATATTATCACAGATGCTTGGTTTACTTTTGCAGTTCTCAAAACTGAATTTGACTCAGCGGAGATCACATGCCTCTTCTTCACAGCAAACATGTTATAACATGAACAGAGTTAAGAAAAAGACCTTAATCCTAACTTCTACAAACCTACGAATACAGAATCAACCCCTTCAGTGCTAAGTTTCAAGAAGTTCAGTGAATAGAATAGAAACAATATTTTTCTAATTGTTTGGAGTGGAATAGATCTGTACAAGAAGAAAGTGAAACTAAGTGTGAGGAGGAAGGGGCTGACAGTCTACGTTTCCTAAAATATATATATTTTGTTTAGCCAAATTAGTTAACAAACATGGATGTTTGTTTAAGCAAATAACATATGCTGGAATGTTATTGTTTCAGTTGAATAAATCTATTTAAATTGTTATTATTAAGGGAATGATTATTTTTCTCCTTCCTAAGTACAACAGAAAAGTTGTCCAAATATGAATGATTAACCTATTAAACTGGCGATAAAAAAACTAATATGAAAAGTTGTTACTCTAAAACTCTTCATCTACTTGCATATTAAAGTTATACCAGCAAGAATTAGTCTTTATGTAGAAAGCTATGATTTAAATCAAGCCTTACTGACTAATGATTTAAATCGTGATTTAAATTGTGATTTAAATCAGTTTGATTTAAATCAAATTCACCCTGTTGGTAACACAGGAGAAGGGAAAGAGGTATTATAGGAATGTGGTAACACAGGAGAAGGGAATAAACAAAGACACACAGAATTGTAGAATACATGCCTCAGTCAGGGAGCAAAGAAGGGAGTGTTAGAGGAGGAAATGAGGTCTTACTGGAGGAAAGGAGGTAGTAACACTAGAGAAGAAAAGGAGGTATTACAGGGGAAGGAAGGCAGCAAGACTAGAGAAAAGGAGGTAATATAGGGGGAAGGATTGTGGTAACACAGGAGAAGGGAAGGAGGTATTACAGGAGGAAGTAGGTACACAACCAGATTTGTAGAATTACAAAGTAATTAGAGGAAGAAGGAAGGCAGGAACACTAGCAGAGGGAAGGAACGTGGTAACACAGAAGAAGGGAAATACATATTACAGGAGGAAGCAGATGCTATACACAACTAGAATTATAGAATATATTCTGCAGTCAGGGAGTGTGGAAGGGAGTAATACAGGAGGAGGGAATGAGGTTTCACAGGAAAAAGGAACTTGGTAACACTGGAGAAGGTAAGGAGGTATTACATGGGGAAGGAATGTTGGCAACACAGAAGTGGAGGAGGTATTACGGGGGAAGGAATGTGATAACAGAGCAGAAAGGGTAGGACGTATTACAGGAGGAAGCAGATACTATACACAACCACGATTAATAGAATACATGCTGCAGTCAGGGAGCAAGGAAGTGAGTATTACAGGAGGATGGAAGGAGGTATTACAAAGGGAAGGAATGTGGTAACACAGGAGAAGGGATGACACACAGACACAGAAATGTAGAATACATGCCACTAATGTGGAGCAAGGAAGAAAGTATTACAAGAGGAGGAAAGGAGGTCTTACAGGAGGAAGCTGTGAACTACACACACACAGAATTGTAGGATGTGTGCCGCAGTCAGGGAGCAGTAAAGCAGCTGTACTATAAGACATTAGTCATTGGAAATGTACATATATTGTGTATTGTTTTACCAGGTCGACTATTGGTGTTCAAATGACCCTGTGCTTACAAAGTCGCTTTGAAATTCTTTCTTGTGTTGCAGAGCCCTTTAAAATTCACAAAAAGTCAAATATCACTGCAGTCTCTTGTGTATTTTTATTATACAAATTAACTACCAGCCTGAGATAAACAGATAACTCACTATAAAAGAATTTCAGTGACATTGACAACTACCATTGTAGTAATTTATTAAACAGCTCAGGGAATATGATGATCTAGTTTTGCATGGAATTAGGTCTTTTGGCCCAAAAACAAAATTTCTGCCACAAGGTCACCATGTTCTTTTGTTAGGTTGACCCACTAAACAGGATAAAGGGTTCACTTCTGATCCCATTTAAAAAGTACAGTGCCATTTGTTGTAACAATAGATTACATTATCCCTCACCACTCCTACACAAATCGCTCACCAGCATTCATGCATCTTTTATGGCAGTGCAACACATATTAGTGCACATTAGAATGGCACCACATTGCACAAACTCAAGTGGCATGCATTGCTACATGCTAAGGTAATGAATGTTAATGCATATGCCTATCCTTTTTATATAAAAGGTGTAAACAGAAATGAATCCTTCTGTAAGTAACTTTAGTTGTGTTTAGCTTGACAATAAAGTTCAATTTCTGTGTCATGCCATTTACTCTGTAATACTTCAATTCCATTTATCAGTTAAGCTAGCTCAAAGGGGGCATTGATACTGTCCACATACAGACATGCAGTATCTTTGTTTTGGCTGGACCACAACTGTTTTTTTTCAAAATTTCAATATAGAAAAACAAATTAATTTTCATAGGTGTCATTGTGTTTAATCATATTGTTTTTTTCCTACAGAGGTGGCCTGAGCAACATGCTCTTTCATTGCTCTTTGCCGGATGATGAAAAGTGTTTAGACAGTGAGCCAAGGAGCGTACTGCTGCGGCTGTATGGTGCCATTCTACAGGTGGGTGGAATCTGACCAAAAGCATAACTGTATTCTTTTGAATAAGGAGAGATTTTGAAGGGTAATTATAATGCTTTTGTCTGTCTGTGCCCATTTTTGTTAGGTGTTAGATTTAAAAGGTAAATGTGATAGGCCATTCTTTGCTGTTTGGATACTTGTAGCATAGATTGTGTGCTTCCACCTTAGATTATAATGTACTGTATCACAAACGTCAATGTTTGACTGTAGATTACAGAATCAAATAGATCCTATCTCTGTTGTCAAACAGCCCTAAATGCATGCTAAAGAAAAACCTATATCTTTGCAAGGATCTATGTAGAGGCATGAAATCAGAAAATGCTAATATATCCAGAAAGTTCAGTTTGTTAGCTAAGTATAGACATATAATGCACTGTGATGAGAAATGCTAGAGAAACATAGCATGCCGACGTTGTTTTGGCAAAAAAGTGGCATTACTATAGTTTTCTTTTTAGGCACATAATTGTCACTTGTATAGCTTCCATGGAACCATAAACTGCATTATTTTACTTTGTAATTATCAAGTGAAACAATTTGTACTGCATATAGTACACTGTTGTAATATCAGACGAGTGTATTGCACATAGGCACATGACGAACGTAAACACAAGTTGTGACGGACTGATATATCATCGACTTGTGCTGAGTTTACAAATCTGCTGTGTGTAATTTTTTTCGTGCTTACCAAAATGTGAACTGCCTGCCTGACAATGATTTGCAAAGGTGATGATACTGTGCTTTCCAGATTCAGTCATTCTGGCTGTGGATGTCTGGAGTTGTAGTTCGGAAGAAATGGCTGGAATGCGTAGATTGGTCATGCCAGGTTTAGAGGTAAAGGTGCTTTAACATATTAAGTTAGGCTTTTTACCCTAGGTACGTTTTTTTGTAAATTGTTGCTTTCCCTACAGGTTTAATTATCTTAATGCAACACATTTGGTTTGTGAATAGTGCAAATCTCACTTTCAAAATATAACCTTGGAACAGGGGTGGAGTGACCATTTGGAAACTCGGCACTGCCCGAGGGCCCGGGGGTCAGTAGGGGGCCCCATAAGATGCCCCTGGTACCTTTTTTCATAGGCTTTTTTGAGTTTGGGCAAGGACACGGGCCCCCATGATCCCCTATTGCCCGGGGGCCCCATGAGTTGTCAGTCTGCCCTGCGTTGGAAATCCTTGGCCACTAAATGATGGCCATAGATCCTTGTGCCAAGAGAATACACAATGCAATACTTATAGTTTTGTGTCCGGTTAGGTTCTAAAATGATCATATAGAGAATTAAATCTAGGATGATGAAAGAATCACATTTCTATTAGTCAGAACATTCCAGAATGCTCACGTAACAAACTTTTTATGAATGACATGTAGTCATATTTTTTTTTTTTTTTGCCAAAGTTTGACTCTACTTTATTGCTACATTATTTGGAGTATTTATAGCTGTAGCTCACTTGGCCAGCTCCTGTGTTTATGGCTCTGTATTTTTCCATTTTAGTCACAGGTCAATGTCTAAATTAACTGAGCAGTGTGGCATAGACTTTGGCCTTAAAAAAAAAAAAACGCAGATGTAGAACTCCCCTAGGATTTCTGGTGTTTTTCCTTTGATTACCACACCCAGGTACAGTCCGGGCAGGCTTACAGTTTTATTTCTCTCTCCTGGTAGACAAATGATTCTCTGCCTGTTAAAATACACAATACTATAGACTAGCAGAACTGGTTTACCTGTACGTTCTCTGCTAATAGGTCAAGCTTTTTCTGTGAGATGCCAGATAACATTTTCCCCTATACCCATTATCACCAATATAGAGCAGATCTACATAACCTTCCATTGTTTTAATTGTAGAAGGAAAGGTGTATGATTAAAAAGAGCATATTAACTTTATAGCAAAAATGTATAGTATACTATGGCTTAGGGAAATTGCCAGCCACATCTTAGAATTTTAAATCTGGCGCCATTCCACCTCTGATCCAACTGCCTGTTGCAGCACTTGGGTGAAGATCAGACAATATAGGGAGAATCTAATGTTGCAAGCTCCCTGTCGCCAACAGAAGTTTTATAACTGGCCAATCTTTCAAGGTTGAATGAAGGTAGTAATCATGCAAGCACCATCTCTTCTTTGGGTGAATTGAATAGAAGTCACAGATTGGTCCCAGCACAACCAATGACCGCTAGATGTTGCACCCTTGTCACTCTAGGACAGATGTCTGCCTGTCTATGACAAGCTCAGTTTTTAAAATGATGTATTTCTTAGTTGTTTTTGTTCAGCTATTAACTTCAAAACATTTTTTGGGGGAAGGTGGTCTAATTAAAAGGAAAACAAAAAAGACCAGGGCTTCAGAAATTGCCCTTGAATTTTTTGTTTCAAATGTTAAATTCACATGTCTACATAGTTTTCCACAAGGTGAATGACTTAAAACCCATCTATCTATATATACGATTGTAGTAGTTATTCATTTTTATTTATTGTAGGCAAGACCGTTTTATAAACCAAATTAAAAAAATAAACGTTCATAAATTTGAATTTATGAGATAGAATTGTATTCTCAGTATAGTTTATCCTTTTGCTATATAACATTCTGTACAGATAAAAAAAAATGTTACACAAACCATGCATATTTAATGTTTTGGCCTTTGTGTCAGTATAGCCTTTCTTCAATTTCCAACAGCTTTTTTAAAAAATTTAGTTTACGATTAGCCTGTTTTTTTTACTGCTTAGGTGGCAAAAGACCATGTTTATGTCCTTTTTTAATTAAGAGAGCGGGCAAATGTGTATCTCTTTCTCATACTAGGCATATAGGTAAGGATAAGAATATGGACATAAGCACAAGAAACCGAAGTTGCACAGTGTTCTGGTTGGTAACTTGAAGTTTAAATCCTTTGATAGTGGTCTAGCCATTTGATTGGTTAGTCAATGTAAAGCCTAATTTTTAATACTTAATATCTATGTAACACTGTCATCTTTGTTACTTATTGAAGTTTGGGATAAAACCTTTACCAGCTATTTTATTGACCTTTAAAGTGTTGGAAATCTTTATCTTTGCCTTATACTAATTATCTACTAATGTTCCAACATGTTAAAGTGCACATTATAAGGTGCAACATAATGTTATGCATTCTAGAATCTTTTTCTTGGTTTTAAGTCTTCTTTTTTAAGTCTTACTGGGTGGGTTAATATGGGGGGATGGTGATTATGGATGGGGTGGGGTGTTATACCTCTTTAGTTGTATGTGCATGTGTTCTTTGCTGCAGGCGTACCCATGCGATCGTGCCTTGCACACTCTGGTTACCAGGTGACAGACACGATACACGGTATAGTATGCGACCTCTGAAATTGGAGCATTCTGTTAAGATTTACATTTTTAATGTTCATATGCATTGGTTTATAATGCATGTCTCAGTCTGTTTTGAAATGCCTTTAATGGGGAGCTGCAGGACCAAAATGAGATATTGAGGCGACTGCAAGTCAAAAATAATTCATATGCTGTTCAAACTCTTACAGCTGTTAACAGCACAGCTAAGATGGTTTTTTTTTTTTTTTGGAAATCAACCATATGCAAGCGCAGTAGACTTCAATAAAAAAAAAAAAAAAAAAGATATCAGATGATGTTCGGTTTTGAATTGCCAAACTTTACCATTGCAGTTTGCTTATTTTTATCGCATAAACCTAAATATACCTTATTTTAAATGTTGGGGAAGAAACACAAATTTAATTTCAAAGCATATTTTACTTGAGAATTATACAAATATTTCAGATAAATAGTTAAGATTGCAAAAATATGACAAAGACCTTTAGATCTCAGTATGGTAGGAATTATAGCATTTTATATATTCGACTATATATAATCTCACACACATAGATACACATTTAACTTGAGATCCATTACTTTACGGATCTATCCAATTGCTTAGTTTAGTTTGGTGGACTGCATCCCCCCATGAGGCGATTGATACCAACTGTCATCAGAAACCAGGTTTTTTTTTTTTATAATGGGCAATTTGTAGCATTTAATTAATCCAGGACATGGAATCTTATGTTCGCCAAGGCCTGTCACAGGCAATTAATAATTTCCTTTTTTACTGTAAGCATTCTAATTTCATTGACAAATACTTTTAATACATGGGATAATATGTAATGTTTTATGTGCACATAGAGGGCCTTTTTTTAATTAAAAAGTGCCCTAGTGCTGATTAACTTGATTCTTTTTTTTTTTTACTCCAAATCTGAATTTTTTTAACTTTTTTTTTTTTTTTTTTACATGGGCTAAATTATTTGCAAACTCTGTTGCATGTAAAAAAAATTACATTTTTTATTTAGATACCTGATTTCTGATCTTTCTTATGGTTGGTTCAATAAATGTCTTTCTGGGTTATAAATATGACCTGCTGTTTTCTGCTTTACTCTTTTATCTTATGTTCTAGGAATTTTGATAACTATTTAGAATAAGGTATGTCTAACTAGGTTGTATACTAATTGCTCAGTAATTAAGGCAAGTTAATATTGCAAAGAGGGATTATAACCCAAAAATAACCAACAAGATTAGCTTTAAATGGTCAGCAGGACTCAGATTAATGGAGACCAGCATTTATACAGTATGGTCACCAACAAATCTTAATTTCTAATGATCGAGGCTTCAATTGCAGAATAAAGTATTGGAAAATCACTTAAATGGCCAGTTACCCTTACTACAGCGCTGCTTTAATCATTTAGAATCTTTAGACAGTACCGCATTGCATGATATTCTAAACCTTGGCTTAGTTTTCTACAGACCTTCTGCTTTTTACAGTCTAAAAGGAAATAGATAATATGCATTAGGCTCTATTTATAAAGCTTTTACACAATAACAATTTTTACCCATGTGACTGTAATTTTCAAAACTATTTGGATTTTGCTTTAAAAAGTGACAGTTATTTTCAGCTACAGATTTTTAGCCTGATATATTTTGTAAATGTAGCCATTTGTGTCAAGCATTTCAAATAAATGCAGTGCGTTTTCAAACAAGCCACTAACAGCTAAAAAAGTTTAAACATTTGTAAAGAAGTGTATGCAGTGATCATTTTTAAATCCTCGTAGAGGTCAGCCTTGCTATGTACTTGGCAGCAAGCAAATCAGAAATGTGTAAAAATCTTGTTCTTAGTTCATCTTCTTTCAACATGTCCTTCAAGAAAAATGTTGTGTGCCTTTTGTGAAAGCTTTCATCTCAAAGGCAAGTTTATGTCCCTTGCAAAATGCTTTAGCAGTATTTTTCTGTCAACCTAAGCAGCTAAATCTGGTATTTTCTGTTAAGATATGCACAAGCATATGTATGTGAAATTTCTGTGCCTTTATTTCTTTCCGCACCAACCTGGTTTGGATTTAATTACTTTGATGGTTAAAATAACACCTTTTTTATGACCTCAACAGATGTCGTGTAACAAGGGTGAAAATCAAGAGACGCAGAGAGAAAATTTTTTTCAAGTAAGTATTTTTTGTATCGGAGTCAAACACTCTACTTTATGTGATTTATGATATTGTATCCAAATCCTCTGTAAACTACATGTGGAAGTAAACTTGGCCTTGGGTAAAGATCCAGTTAAGAAAAAACACTGTTAAATGCTGTTCCAACTTTTTTAGAGATGTCCTAATGCTGCTACTTTAAAAATTCATAGGACATGCTGGGAATAATTTGTTCAAGAACGGATCTAAAAGGACTATAAAAAAATTTTCTGTGCAGTAGTGAGCTTGTCACCTTTCCTGATCTATAAAAATTGGGACACTTTAAGACACGTATGTTGGGAGAGTGGAAGGATTACCGGTGCTATATCTGCCTTATGTGTTTAGCTCGGCGTGCTTCAACATTTTCTAGTCTTGGCTTACCATTGACATCTTGTGTGTGTATAATATGGTTAGAATTTTACATAAAACACAAACATGACTGACTACCTTAATCCAGCACTAAAGTCTAAAGTGGATGGTCTTTTGTGTATAAAACTGGACCAAAGGGTGTTGTCTATTTTTGTTAGTTTCAGATGAGTTCTAACCTGGCAGCGTTTCATAATATATATTTGCATTTGTATTCTTGTTTGAAGTTCAGATTTAGGTTCTCATTCTTATTACTTTTTAATTTGGCAATATTGGTCACTAGATCTACCAGGCTTCGACCAGATATCTGAATTCAATGCCTATTTTTTGTAAATCGAAATCAAAAGTAAATGAAATACTAGTATTTCTCAGATTTTTTTTAAAGTGAGGATATCTGTGCCCATTATGGAACTGTTGCCTTTTGTGGAACAGTTTGCATGTTGATGCCTAAATACAGAGATCAGATCTCAGACAATTTTCTAAGCTATATGATACATTCAGCTTAGGGGATAATTAGTAAAGCTTTGGAAACAGTGGCTAAAGTCTGTTTAGATGACACTGCACATTTAGGGGCTCTGAGTTTTATGTTTAGCTGTCCTGAGGTTGCCAATTAGGGGCCCTGAGTTTGTTGAGGACAAATAATTTGAGTTCTACAATTTCAGCTTCTGTAAGGTGTACAGCCAATGATTTGTGCTTCAATACCCAGGCACAGAAGTTGCATAATTCATGTCATACAGTTGATAAGAAGTTCTTATGCATTGTTTTTTGTTCATTATGCATCGAAGGCTCCTTTTGTTTTTTTTTCTATTGACCTGAACTCTGTGCTTCATCAGGTTTTGGCACAATGCCTTACATACTGAATGTCATTTGTGTGCAGGCTTTTTCTTGACTCTAAAGTCAAGTGTCACCCAGTGCATGTATGTTAATAGTTTAACTCCAGGAATCTAAGAGTAGGTTCTCTAGCATGTGCTACAAGTATGGGAACAGTATAAACTTCTGAAAATTAGATTTCATATTTTAAATATAAATGGTGTATTGACCATGTAATAATGCAATCACTGAACATCTTTGTGGAATGTATGATGCGCTTTATTTGGAAAAGCTACCAAAATGGCAAGCCAGTACCCATGTGCACTAAGATATTAGAGAGATCACCTACTTGTACCTTCACTAACAAAAAATGCACATACAAACTGCAGCAGGCCATGCATAAAATTGTCTATATAGGTGCAGAGTTGCTACTCCATTGGCAGCAGGGAAATGATGGAGGAAAAGACATGTCTTGATTTCACAGGTCTTTTGCCTAGCAGACAGATTCAGAATATTTTCTCTTGATGCAATATCAATGCGTTTACACGTTTTAGCAGGTGTGCATCTCATAGTAATTGACCCCATTTTGGATGGTAAGAATTTGTCAAATGTTTTTTTTTTTTTACAAAACCCGGCTTGTGTAAATAGGATCAGCTGCAAGACTGTTGCCCATAACTGTCTATATCTCTAGCAGCGAGTTACAGGTGGAAGGAATTGTCATGAATGGGGTCATCCTTCCCGTAGTCTTAGTATTTCAGGCTAATATTCATTTCTGTCCAGTGTTGGGTTTGTGTGTGTTTTTCCATCCTCACATCTAACCCCCCCCCCCCCCCCCCCCCCCCCCCCCCCCCCCCCCCCCCCCCTAAAAAAAAAACATTTATAGTGTAGGTTACCAGTCCTTTGATTTAGTGGATGCATTATGTTTTCACTAGGCATTTTGTTTTATCGTCACCTGGTGAAAATGGGAGTAACACACTTGGGTGGCTGTGCTAGTCCGCCTCTGTATCAGTTGCCATCCAGGCTGGACTACAACCATATTTGCCTTTGTTCATTTCCATTACAAGGGGGATGGAGAGAACAATTAACTGCAGGAGCTTATATTCCTTCTGTAATCTCGCTGAAAGTTACAAGGGCATTCCGGGAAGATCAACAGGTATTTCTTGTACTTGCTGGAATTTTTTTTAATAGCCTGAAAAATAAAAATAATGCAGCTGCCACATCTAACGAATGGTAAGATGTAATTATAACTTTTTAATACTTGTCTATAGTTATTTTTTTCAAGTGGTTTTATTTAAACTTTTTTTAATTTTTTTGTAGCTTAGCAGAGTTGGGAAGAATTAAACCCTTTGCTAAATTATTTGCTGTCTGTACATATTGGAGAAATGTCTCCATTTGTCGCAGAAATGCTACAAAACATAACTCTACAAGTAAGGGGAGTTTCCCTCTAGAGAGTTGTCCCCAGATGAAACTGGGTCGATTTACTAAAGCTGGAGAGTGCAAAATCTGGTGCAGCTCTGAATAGAAATCAGTAGCTTCCAGTTTTGTTTGTTTTTTTTCAAACCTTAACTGAACAACCTGAAGTTAGAAGCTGATTGGCTGCCATGCACAGCTGCACCAAATTTTGCACTCTCCAGTTTTAGTAAATCAACCCCAAATGTCTGCATTAGATGATTCTGGGGACAACAATAAAATGCTGCCTTTACCCAAACTTTCTTTCCCTGTGACAGTGGTCACCAGTACAAATAGAGGGTTGAATCCCCCCCCAGTGGGAGAAAGACGTTGCCTAGAGATACACTATAAAAACACATCACAAGGAGGGATAGTGTTGTATGTTTATATTGAGAGTTTACAATGAGAAATCTTTGCTGATCATTAGATGGCATATCACCAAAAGTTAAAACCAGTCAGGCTGCTTTTGATGGCTGATTTCTCTTAAATCTTTATCACTCTACAAATTGACTTGTATGAATAGCTTTTACCCTCTGTACACAAGGATGTATATTTGTATCTGCATTTTACCTTCAACTTCCCGAGTCTTTATGTACAGAGTATTTGAAGGTTATTTCTAGAATGTCTGTGTGTATGCTGAGTATACAATGTTGATTGGAGCACATACTTTATCTCCAGGTAACCTCCCTGCAAGCTATAAGAAGGGTAAATACTTCCTGCATCATTGATCCGACTTGTCTGCCGTTTTCTTTAATGGGCTGCTCTATTGCTGTCTGGATTAAGATAAGCAGACTAGATGCTTCATTCACTACTGTCTACTGTCTGCATGCAGTTAACCTGATGCATCAGTGACTTTACTTTAACCTCATTTACAGCTAAAGCATGTGGCCTTTTAATCATGAGGCTGTTGAATCCTTCTTCCATGTTCCTGGTAATGGTGTTAATCAGTATTATCCCATTGTCAAATCTCTTCTTGACAGGGTGCTGCAGCCATGGTAATGGAGAGTGTCATGTTTGCAATCTTGGCAGAGAGATCCCTTGGTCCGAAGCTGTATGGGATCTTTCCTCAAGGACGTCTTGAAGAATTCATTCCAGTAAGCACAAGCAGACTTTTTTTTTTGGGGGGGGGGGGGGGGGCATTGTATGAATCAGCCTTACGAAATAGTGGAATTCCTAATTGTGTAACTGCCATTGGCTTCTGACTCATCTTCTTGGTTTTTAGTGAACAAGTGCCAACACTAGCTGAATAGGAGTAGTTTGGTTTCAGAAGGAGTGGAATCCGATGTCTGGGCAATGAAATGCCCATTGTATGACACCACTAAGCTTTGTTGAGTCTCGTATACAACCCACTTAGTGGTAGACATATTTTAAGTCCTGCTACGTATATGAAGCAGTATTTCCTTTGTAGGATCAGTAGACTTTTGCAAAATTTCTAGGTAGATAAGCAAATGCATTTTATAAAGGGCCAAAATTATGTTTCAACTATACTGGCACTTTTTTTTTTTTTTTACCTGATGTATCAAATTTTAAGAAAATGTATGACTTGTGTTGACCATAGAACCCTCAAGATGCTACATCACATGTTCCCATAGCATGTTGTGAAATGTTATCTGCTTTTGATAACACCTCCACCTTCTCTGTTAAATCATCCAGATGGTTGGTTAGAAACACTGACATATCATTCCACTGAGAATTGCTGATATAGGATTGGTTAAAATTTGTCATCTGTAATTATGGTGTATGCACATAATAGGTCCTGAAACTAGAGGAAGTAGGAGTTACCTATAATTCATCAGATTGGCTTTCTGGTTCCAGTTTGATGGCAGATATGTGATAAAGATGCTATTATTGTCAGTCTTTTTTTGAAATAATAAACAAATAAATCTGACCAAGAACAAAAATACAATACATTGCAGCTTACCAGTCCTTAGCTGTAGAGGCTACATTTGTTTTCTTATTTAGGATAAGAATTTTCAGCAAATACAGAAAAATACCAGTTTATCTTCCCATTAATGCAGTGTCCTTATCCTCCTGTGATAAGGAGGTGAAAACTATCTTATTTGTGTAAATTCATAACTCCATTATTCCCCATGTAATGGAGATGAACAGTTTGACATCCAGCTTAGCTGACAGCCATGATGCTGAGAGGAGTTATCTTAGCCACCCAGGAACAGTGCATTATTTGCAGGATTACTAGATGAAAAAAGGCTAAAAGAATAATACAGCCACCACATATAGAGATTAGTAAATTGAAGTAAATTACATTTCTGTGTAGATATACTTTTGGAACTTTGCCAACATCTCTGGATTTTAGGACAAACAAAAAACTTGGCTAATAGACTCAAAAAGCTAGTCTGTTCAGCACAAAAGAAAACAAAACCCCTGAGAAAAAGCTCCTAGGTTGCTATAACATTAAATATCCAGGTTTCCAAAATTTGTGCTTATTGCTTCTTATTAAATTGGAAAACTGTACTTAACCACTTCCCGTCCGGCCCATGTATATAAACGGCTGGACAGGAGCATTGCAGGAGCGGGTGGCCGTTTATAAACATCCTCCCTGCTCCCCGCCTGTGCACGCTCCCTGGAAGCGCGCGGCACCGCAATCCGGTGCCGCTGTGTCCGGAGAACACCGATCGCTCCTGTATGAGGTCCCGATCATGTGATCACTGATTGGCCAATCAGTGATCACATGAATAGTAGTAAGCAAGCTGTCACTTGTGACATCATTGCTTAATACTTGTGAATCCTGTGAATGATCACAGAAGTCACATGGTACAAGGCTATTCACAACAGCCTTGTACCATGTGACAAGCTGTGACCAATCACAGGATTCACAAGTATTAAGCAATGATGTCACAAGTGACAGCTTGCTTACTACTATTCATGTGATCACTGATTGGCCAATCACAGTATTTCTCAATGGCTGCAAAAATGCAGCCAGAGAGAAGGAGAAAAATTGTTGCTTTTACAGCCTTTATGTGTGTAAAAGCAATCAGTGTAAAAATAAAAAAATAAAAATCTTCAATATCCCCTTACAAGTAGTACAATGACACTGTACTGCTAGGGTGACAGTATGTTAAAAAAAAAAAAATCAATATAAGTAAAAATGTAAAAACATATTTGAAAAATTATACTTTTTGGCTATAAGCTAATTTGGGTTATTTTTTTTCTACTAAAAAAATAGATGAATACATTTTAGTCAAGATTTATGCAGAAAAATTATTTGCAAAATTTTATAAAAAAAAACACTTTTTTTTTTCTTTTTTTCAAAATGTTTGGACTTTTTTATTTATATAGCAAAAAAATAAAAATCCCAGTGGTGAATAAATACCACCAAAATAAAGTTTTATCTGACTGTGCTAAAAAATTCATATGGGCAGTGTTGCATGACCGCACAATTGTCATTCAAAGTGTGATAGCGCTGAAAGCTGAAAATTGGTCTGGGCAGGAAGGGGGTGAAAGTGTCCAGACTTGAAGTGGTTAAAGTGATATCAAAGGCTTACATTTTGTTTAAATAACAAACACATCATACGTACCTGCTCTCTGCAGTTGTTTTGCACAGATCAGCTCAGATCCTCCTCTTCCCCCGGTCCCCTGCAGGCTCTCCTGGCCCTTCCTTCCTGTTGGGTGCCCCCACAGCAAGCAGGTTGCTATGGGGGCACCATAGTATGCGTGTCCATTCACACATGGAGCTGCGGCTTGGCCCCATCCCCTTTCTTCTCATTAGCTCACTGACTGTGATTGACAGCAGTCTGCCTCCGCTAATGAGGAGAGGGAGTCCCAGCGCTGCACCCTTTGATTGCATTATAGCTTTCCAACTCAGAAGTTGAGCTTCTGATTGACATCTGTCAAATGGGGAGGGTCACACACCGATCAAATTTCAGCTGGTCCCTGCTGAACCAGTTACATTTTGATCCGTGTGTACCCACCTTAATTACTATGCCAACACTTAGATTACAATCATCCATACTATCCGGATTCCAAATGTCCTTCAGGTCCAACACCACTGTCCAAACTAAAGGCAAGAAGAGCAGTGACTGGTTATTTGCCCAGCTACCAAATGACCCTTCTTGTATTGTCTCTAGCAACTTGGATTAGAGGGTGTTGATTGTGATGGAGAAGCTTAAGGCTGGCTTTATACGGATCAATTTTTTTTTTTTCATCAGCCAGTGGGCTGATCGGAATAAACTATATTTCCCTTCCACTAAGATTTCCCCTTGCACACAAACAAAGTGGATGGAGTAATCCTCCCCACTTTGCGACTATATTCTGACAATGGGAACTCTTCTGCTGTCAGAATACATTTATCTAATTGGTTGTAGCACTGATTTAAGAAAAAGTTTGCAACAAGCCGGTTCAAGAGAAGTCGATCATTAGATTGACTTCTCTGGAACAGGAACAGCCATAGATGGACTGAAAGAAGAAATACATATTTTGTATGTAATAGAGGCATTGTGACCTCTCAGAACATGTTGGGGTATTAGCAGAATTTTAAAGTAGTTGTAAAGGCTTATTTTTTTTTTTCCTAAAACAAACCTATTATACCTACCTGCTCTGTGCAAGGGTATTGCACAGAGCAGCCTCTTTCCTTGTCTTCTGAGGTCCCCTGTCCAGTGCTGTCCACTCCTGAGTGCCTCCATAGCAAGTTGTGTGCTATAGTGATACCTGTGCAGGCATGCTCCTGAGCCGAGCGGTGTGCATCCATAGACACACATTGTGACTTTGCCTTGCCGCTGTGCCCTCCTTGCAGGATTTGATTGGCAGCTGTGGGAGCTAATGGTTCCCACTGCTGCCTCTGTCCTGTTAACACAGGAAGAGAGACCAGCGCTGCTGCAGACGGGCAAAGTGCTGGATTAAAAAAGGAGCCAGGAAAGTATTTCAAGAGGATCTTCAGCCTCTTTGGGAAAAATTAAATGTCAGCAGTTACAACTAAAATAAAAGGATATTACCTCTCTAAGGATCCAGCACTACCATCACCTGGGCTGGTTCTTTGCTGATCTACAGGCCTCTGAAGCCGGTATGTTTAGTGTGGGAAGCCAACTGTGACTCCTTGCAGCTTCACAGTTGGATTCGCACTGTGCATGCACAAGCTGTACTGTACTGTGTGAATGGTCCAACAGCCTCCTGGGACCTGTGACATGAGGGCAAGATAGGTGGACTTCCTATGGAAGTCAAGTCCACCGTTCCGTAGTCGGTGATACACAGAGGATCTAGCTTACTAAAAGCGTTTAATTTCTGAGGTGTTTTTGCCTTTACTGCATGCAAGCAGTTTAACCAGTGTAAACATTTTTTCTATTTTCTCCCAGAGAATTAGAAAATGACCAAGAGAAGAAGAGATCATATATGTAATAGAAAAGATAGATATTATAAATAAGAATAGCAGCATTTGTTACATCAAGGCTAAAGCAGTAGTAGCAGAGATGCATGCAATAATAAAAGTAGTAGGATAACTAAAACTATAAAGACCTTTGTTTGGAATTTAATGTTTGCCCCTAAATAAATATGAACACCAACACTAAATGATAAAAAGCCCACTATCATTTTAGTAATACGTTTCCTCCTTTTTATAGAGTCGAAGGCTTGAGACTACTGAGTTGCTTTTGCCAGCGATATCTGCTGAAATAGCTGAGAAAATGGCTCGATTTCATGGTATGAGCATGCCGTTCAACAAGGAACCCAAGTGGCTCTTTGGGACAATGGAGAAGTAGGTTGATTTTTCTGTTTTCTATTTGTTTCACAGGTTATCTCTTATTTCATTATTATTATATTATTTATTTTATCTTTATTTCATTAACAATAGATCTGCGAATACATAGCATTTTTGGTTGATCAGCTTAAGTATCTTAATAACTTTATTGCAGACCGTAATGTCTGTATTTAATTCCAGACCACCCCAATGCTCAAGAAGCCCTCAAATGTCCTTCAAATTCTTTAGGAAAATTAGACTATTATGCCCTCCTTCCCCAAAAGCCATTGGTATTGCATTGTAGGAGGTGAAGGTGAGCCTATGTTCAGGGAAAAAATAGTATATGCTTCAAATTTCTGGTGGGTTGGGAGGACTGGAGCCTTTATAGTGTCTGTGCATATATATGAAAGCTGGCTTACACCAATTTTTTTTCTTAATATAGAACAGTTTTGTATTTAGCCAGCCATAGATGGTTCGAATTTCGGCTGGTTTAGCAGGAAACAGCCAAAGTTCCAAACATCTATGTGCAGGCTGATTGTACCTAAGTTGATCCATTGATCAACTTGGGTACAACCAGCATGTCTGATTTTTACATGTGATTTAATTCCAATGGCTATAGTTGCTAGCAAAAATCGCTGTGTTCTCCCAGCAGGAATGGCTCCCCATGCACCTATGCCGGGAGAACACAATCACTCTGCTTGGGGGATTCTCCCATAAACACTGATCCACATCTATGTCGTGCCTTAGAGTAGGTCCATAATTGGTGGGTCTCCTTTCTTCAACCGCTCTCATTAGCAGTAGGGATACAGTCTCTCTGCTGTTGCATGTTATGATGGCAAAATAGAGATTTATGGCTAGTGGAAACCCATAAAAATTTAACCTTGGCGACATGGAGGACAGTTTTACCAGTTAGAGTTTATTCATAAAAATGTATTTTGTATTGCAATGACTCTAGCATATTATGCTCATTTATTCAACTCTTTCGTTAGGTACTTAAAGCAAGTCTTGAAAATTAAGTTCACTAGAGAATCTCATATCCGGAAACTCAATACATTTTTAAGCTACAATCTTTCCAAAGAAATGGACACCCTGAGGTAAGGTCTGTTCTGACACTAGACTTGTCTGTTACAGATTTCTATAAATGGCATCTGAGCATTAAAAAGTCATGTAGTCCTGTAGATCTTCTACATTTTAGGTAAAGAAGTAAAGTTGTAGTTTTTTGTTTTTTTTATTTTTTAATTTTATGTTAGGAGGACGCGGCTAGAGCAATGCCTGTTTGCATGAATGTATAATAAACCAACTGGATGCTGTCATGGACAGTGCTGTGTAGGCTTGATAATGTACATCTGGGTCCCAAAATCTGTGTGGGTGCCTTATGGAACTAAAATGTTAGGTGTAAGCAGGAGTTCATTGACAGACAAAAAATTCTATAATAAAGTGTGAGCAGGCAGAATGAAAACCAAGGGAATGAGAATATTTAGAGCGGTTTTTATCCCTCTTAAAGCCCCCCTCTTCACTCCCAGTGTTTTTATTATATACGTGTCTAATATAGTTGCTTGGCAATCTTCGTTGTGCTGCCCAGCAAATATTTAACGTCTTCCCACTTCTGCACCTCATCTCTTGACGCATTTATGGCCCACATTCCATTCACTTCACTGGACAAGTCTGTCAACAGCTGAGCAAGTCGTAATACAGACTTTCTATTGAAACGAATAGAGGGTAGGCTGTACAGAAGTTTTGAAGAGTTACTATGAGGAAATAGGCAGGCCAGTCAGTAATGATTTGAAAGGGAGCTGTTTTAGTGGCAAGTATATTTCAGGGCAGAAAAAAAATTTTGTCAGAAAAAAAAGCAGCACAACAAATGCTAATAGTTTCTTGAATTGCACAACAGTTTGGGAGTTTATTAACATTTGCTTTTATCAGCTTTTATTTTCTCCTAAAACATTCCCTTCTGCTCATTTTTCAGTGTACGCTTGAAAACTCTGTTTGCATGTTTATGGGAGTTAAACGTTTTTCTGATTGAAAGCTCCTCTCAAAAACATGATTCTGAAGGGTTTCTTTCTGCCTCTAAATGCTTCTCTGAAAATATGCCTGTATACTCCCTAATGCAGTGCATGGACACAAAAAGGCAAATATACTGTGCACTGCAAGTGCAGTTGCTCTAGATCTGAGGGGGAGCTGTGTTGATTTCTATTATCCAATCATGTGCAAACAAAAATGCAGTTTTTTTTTTTTTTTTCTCTATGTGATTGGACATTCTCTGCATAGTGAAGCCGTACCTAATTTACTAAGCTCTGGCGCAAGTGAACAGCCTTGAGTAAATCAGCCTTGAGTAAATCATCCCCAAAGGCTAATAGAACTGCTTCTATAAGTTGAAGGAAAAAAAATGGAAAATGTTTGTATAAGCAGCATTTTTTTTTTTCTATGCCCAGTGTGTATGGACCCTCAGAATCACCTGGACAGGGGAGTACACCCTTACAAGAGTAAATGCCCCAAAAGTTTTTTGACTATTTACTAAAACTGGTGCACACAGAATTTGGTGCAGCTCTGCATAGTAACCAGTCAGCTTCCAGGTTTTATTGTCAAATTTTAATTGAACAAGTGGATTGTTTACTCTTCACAGCTACACCAGATTCTGTGTGCACCAGTTTTAGTAAATCTCCTCCAATGTCTATTGTATAATATAGTTATTCTCAAAGCAATATATTTTACATGTATGGTGTTTGGAATGGGTGAAAATGTAATTGTTGTAATGGATCAATATCCCTAAGAATATGCACCGCATAATTGTGTTCCCCTAAATCAATGAGGATGTAAAATCATGGTCTTCAATCTTCTTTCTTTTAGGGCTCTGCTGGAATTAACGCCATCACCAGTTGTGTTCTGTCACAATGACTGTCAGGAAGGTAAGACTAAAGCTGGTCCTATATTAATTGTCTTTTTTTTGGTTTGAAAGAAAAAGACAGATTCCCCCATCCACATCAAATGCCTCCTACTGTGCTGTGTTCTAATGACAAGGAGACTTCCCTACCATCAGAATACACTGATTAGTACTGCAGGCTATATCTGGCAGCACTGATCATTTGGGAAAAACCCAACAGGCTGGTTATACAGACATCGATCAGCAGATTGACTTCTATACAACCAGCCTGCCCATACATGGATCAAAATTCATCTGGTCCCTGCTGAACCGGGCCAGTTTCAATCCACATATGGCCACCCTTAAGCTTTACTGCTGGTGTTGAATTGTATTAATGTGAGATATATAATGAATGCAGCCATGTCCAGTGATAGTCTTGGCTTTTAAAGCATTGTCCACTTATGACCTATAAGTCTCTAGCAAATCCCTCACAAAAATGAGTGGTGTAAATTAATGCTCATTCAAAGTGGAATACTTTATTTGCTTTTCTATAGAGAAAAGGGAGTGATCATGGAAGTCCACAGGTAATCCAACAAGCCTTGGTGATTGCCACACTGCAACAGTCAGCGCTCACATACTTGACTTTGTGCTATTGACTGTGAAACTTCATCTTTGTTAACTAAAACTTCATAATCCATTGTAACAGTTCATTGTGACCTACTGAGGAATCACTTTGCCTTACTTTTCCTTGCAGGTAACGTCCTATTACTGGAAGGAAGAGAGAATTCTGAAAAACAGAAGCTTATGCTTATAGACTTTGAATATAGCAGCTACAATTACAGGTAAGATATCACATAAATGTCTCTGTTGGGTAGCTTCTTTAATGATGGATTGGATTTTCACACAATTTGGTTACACCATGAGTCCTGCTGTTATTAACCCTAAGAGTTTTATGGACATTTTTGGCCAGTATTATCTTAGATTCATTACTCATTGTCCACTAAGAGGACAATGACAGCATTGTACAGCAAAAGACTACTATTAATGGGTTCATATATGCTGTATACAGTCAAAGACATGCTTTTAATCTAAGAACACAAATACAATATTACAGCTTACCAGTCCTTAGATGTCTTGGCTAAATTAGTTCCTGCCTTAGGGTGACTACATTCATTCAGTGTAATGTATCGATGGAGGAGCAGTGTTTTTTCAACTAAAGACAGAAAGTGTTGGACTACAGAATGCCACTCCTTTCTTCATCTACATAGCATAGGGAGTGGTGGTCTATAGTTTGAGTTGGTCAGGGCTCATAACACTGCAGTGAGCACCATAAATTATCAGCTCACTAGATTTCTGGCAGGAGCAAAGGATATTTTTTGCACTATTCAAGCAGATATGTCAACTCTATCAATGGTATACTGAACAGAAGATGAGGTTAGTTCATTGTTGGGATTTATGTCCTCTTTAACTTTTAATTTTGCCAATATGACCAAGCCCTAAGAAATAACACATGCAAAAAAAATCTGACATATATTTCAAAAGGCAATTTTTTTATCTCACATTAGTATTGTATAATTTTCTACTTTTAGATGTGCAGTATTCATTATAAGTAGTCTTTAGTAAGACCCAGCAGAGCTATAATTACAGTAGACGTATATGCATCTAATATCAGGGAAATATACTTTGGGGTTGATTTACTAAAACTGGAAAGTGCAAAATCTGGTGCAGCTGAACATGGCAGCCAATTGGCTTCTACCTTAACTTGCCAGAAAACCTGGGCTCTGATTGGTTTCTATGCAGGGCTGCACCAGATTTTGCACTCTCAGTTTTAGTAAATTGGCTCCTTTTGCCTTGCACAAGATCAATAGTAGTGCCTTCTTCTAATAGTGGATTCTGCCATTATATACATTTACTTTAGATTTGAACTAAGCTGTAATTCAAGGCACACTTTTTTGCTACAGGTGACACACCTATATTGAATTTAAAAACCTCCATAATGTAGCATTGGACAATGTGCTTGTTTCCTGTATATAGCACTGACCTATTACTTTGCAACACAGTCACATCGGTTTCTAATGATAGGAAGTTAAAGGTAGGCTCTGCTTTAAGCCGCTTAGTTTTATGGTCATCTGTTGTGTATCATATAGCCTTGTATATGCAGATCAGATTACATATGCACACGTTTGTCATCTTGAAAGGATTATAACTGTTAACATGCTGGATCAGCAAACATTTAAACCTTCAGCTGTTGATCTGTCATTGCAGTTAGTGTCTATGGACATGACCTCAATCTTAAAACTGATCCATATTTATACTATGAGTTGTTGCTTAACCAGATTCTCTTCCTCCAGGGGTTTTGATATTGGTAATCATTTCTGTGAATGGATGTATGATTACACCTATGAGAAGTTTCCATTCTTCAAAGCCAATTTCTCAAATTATCCGACAAAGAAGCAACAGGTATTAGCCTTATTTATAATGTGAATTCTCTAAATAAATGACTTAAACCAAACCTAGCTGAGATACATTTTTACCATTAAATTTGAGTATCTTTCAACAGTTTTTCCAAACAATCTCCTTACTTGAAAAAATAAACGATAAGCCACACAGTTGTCTCATTTTTGAGCTGAGACCACCGATGTCATTAACAGGGTGTTATTTATTTGGAAGGAGAACAAAAGTTTTATGTTTGGTCATATCAGGTGAAATATTCTGCCTATATTGAGTCCTGGTCCTGGGCCAAGTGGATCTACAGCTATTGCATGAATATCCCAGTCATAGTTAGCAGCCTGTGTTGCATGGCATGGTGGCAGCTGCAATTTCATTAGTTCTCTTGAAATATTTCTTATTGGCAGCTGACAGCTCTTGTTTCTCTGAATATTACCAGAGTCAAGTGTCTGACAGCCATGTGGTGGTCTTCTGTCTTTCAGCTTCACTTCATTTCTAGCTACATGGCAGAGTTTCAGCCTGAGTTTGAGAACTTGAGCAATGAAGATAGAAGTAAAATTGAGAATGAAATGTTAACTGAAATTAACAGGTTAGTGAAAATACACTTTATAGTTTTTTTTTTTCACTGCACTTTAATATTTTGTAAGTAAAGCTGGCCATAGATTGTAATTAATTTTTTTGATCAGCCAGCCAGCTGATCAAAAAAAGGAATGGATTCTCCAGTCCACACTTTGGAGGTGGATACAGGAATCCTCCATGCTTTGTCATTGTATTCTGACAGTGGGACTCCTCAGCTGCTAGAATACACCGATTAGCGCTGCAGCAAAAAGTTTCCAACAGCAGTTGACTCCTCTTCGATGGAAACAGCCATAAATGGATTGAAATCGGGCTGCTTCCTGCTGAACCAGCCAAACTTCAATCCATCTATGGGCAGCTTTTTATTTTCCGAAAGGAAGCAGTCACAATAGTTCACTCATGTACTGATACCTTGTATCTCCTAACTTGGGAATCTTTGTTCATTCTACCTGTGGCATGGGCTAAACAGACCTGTAGGAAACAGGAGCTAGATGTTTTGCGTCCAACATCAATGTGAACTTTAAATATTCCATCTCAAGATAAATATTTCCCCTTTGACAGTTGTTGTTTATACAGTACTGTGCAAAAATGTTAGGCGGTTGTGAAAAATGCTATAAGTTAAGAATCCTTTCAGAAATTAGAAGTATTAAAAGTTTCTTTTTATCAATTAACAAAATGGAAAGTAAATGAACAGAAGAGAAATCCAAATCAAATCCGTATTTGGTGTGACCACCCTTTTTTCCTCCAAAACCGCATCAGTTCTTCTAGGTACACTTACACACAGTGTTTGAAGGTAGGTAGATTGTTCCAAACATCTTGGAGAGCTAATCACAGATCTTCTGTGAATGTAGATTGCCTCAAATCCTTTTGTCTCTTCATACAATCTTAGACAGACTTCATGATGTTGAGATCAGGGTTCTGTGGGGGCCAAACTATCACTTCCAGGGCTCTTTGTTCTTCTTTACATTGAAGATAGTTCTTGATGACATAGCCTGTATGTTTGGGGTTGTTGTCCTGCTGCAGAATAAATTTGGGGCCACACTCCTCTCTGATGGTATGGCATGGCATGATAGATCAGTATCTGCCTGTATTTCTCAGCATTGAGCAAGTCATTGATCCTGACCAAATCTCCATCTCCACTGCAGAAATGCAGCTCCAAACCTGCAAGGAACCTCCACCATGCTTCACTGTTGCCTGTAGACACTCACTATTGTAGCACTCTCCAGCCCTTCGGCCAACAAACTGCCTCCTGTTATAGCCAAATATTTACAATTTTGACTCCTCAGTCAAGAGCAACTGCTGGCATTTTCTGCACTCCATTTCCTATGTTTTCATGCATAGTTGAGTCACTTAGCCTTGTTTCCATGTTGGAGGTATGGCTTTTTGGCTGCAATTCTTCTATGATGATCCTTTCTGGCCAGACTTCTCCAGACAGATGGGTGTACCTGGATCCCACTGGTTTCCACCAGTTCTGTGTTGAAGGCACTGCTGGACCTCTTTTGATGTCAAATGGAAGTAAGCATGTGTCTTTCGTCTGCTGCATTAAGTTTCCTTGGCCAACCACTGTGTCTGCAGTCCTCAATGTTGCCCGATTCTTTGTGCTTCTTGAAAAGCTTGATGAATTGAATTGATGCTGGTGTGAAGCCAAAGGATAGTCACACCAAATATTGATTTGATTTAGATTTTTCCTTTATTTACTCACTTTGCATTTTCTAAATTGATAAAAATGAACAATTAAAATGTGTATTTTTGAAAGCATTCTTAATTTTACAGCATTTCTTCACACCTGCCTATACAATACTGTATATTTGAGATAAGTGCAGTAAAGTGAATATTCTTGTGAATATTTATGGTGCCTACAGTCAAATCTTTAAGTACACGAGACCTTGTAGAGTCAGTGAATTTTTTCCCCTGAGAAACAAAATATCTTCCTCTGGGGCAAAGCTCCTTGAGTTTGAGAGTTTAACTTGTTGGACATGTTTTAACCCCTAAATAACTTTGTAATGCTATAGTAACATGAGTAGTTTAAGGCTAAACTACAGCCACACCTCTAAAAACCGCTTGGCCTCCATCGCACACTTCGGCACCTGAAGTAGCAGAATTGCTGTCATTGTTTTGCAGTGTCATCACTATATATGTGCATGATATTTCAGGTATTCTAGCCGAAGAGCAATAATAAAAAATGTAAGGCACATTGATTAGGTGTGAAGACTTCTGTAGATAAAGAAATGGTACTGCTCGGGCCTTCAAGAAGGGGACATACCCCGAAAGCTATTCCTGAAAATTTAGATGTTAGTGCAAATAATAAAAAAAAGTATCACAGACAGTACTCACTTGTTTTTATGCAGATAAAGAATAAAATTTGCCATTTCTTTTTCGTCATGTTTAGTGGAATTGTTTCTCACTGAGACCTTTAACACCACAGCAAGCGACAGAAAGTGCTTTCCTCTAATCAGCTAATGTATATTGAGTGTTTTTGCTTCTGTTTGTAACTTAGGTTTGCCCTTGCATCGCATTTCTTCTGGGGCCTCTGGTCTATTGTACAGGCAAAAATCTCTTCAATTGAATTTGGTTATATGGTGAGTAATACTTTTTTAATACTTTTATACTTTTTTTTTTCATTTTGTTTGCACACTGCCAAAGCATGTGGGATGTGATGTCAGCAGCCCCAGAAGACTTGGAGCTGTCACTCAATGACCCTCTATAGCAGCGGTCTCCAAACTTTCTAAACAAAGGGCCAGTTTACTGCCCTTCAAACTTTAGGGGCCACAGACTGTGGCCAGCGGGAGTAGAAATGGTGCATGTGTCAATGGGAGTAAATAATGCTTCCTCTTTGGTATTAGTGAAAGGAATAGGGCCCCATTGTTGGTGTCGGTGGAAGGAATAATGTCCCATCATTGGTTTTAGTGGGAGGAATAGTGCCCCATTGTTGGTATTAGGGGAAGAAATAATGCCCCATCATTGATCAGTGGAAGGAATAGTGCCCCATTGTTGGTGTTATTGGCGGGAACAATGCACCTTTCTTGTTGACAGTGGGGGGGGGGGGGGGGGGGGGGAATGTCCCAAGGACCAATAAAAGCAAGCCAAGGGCCGCATCCAGCCGCCCGGGCCGCAGTTTGGAGACCACTACTCTATAGTATTCCTTTTTTCCTTCTTTCTCTGGAAGATACATATAGAAAACAATTATGGAGTGAGTTGAGAGGTGAGGGTGCTAGGACAACAGAGATGTTGGACACTACTAGAAAAAGGCGTTTGTAGAGAATGTTAAGGTGGGAATCTTACAAATGTATTGTTTTAGTAATCCTTTTACATAATTTTTTTTTTAAGGAATATGCTATGGCAAGATTTGATGCCTACTTTCTGCAGAAGAAGAGGCTTGGACTGTAATTCCATTCTGCATGAACAACTGGCTGGATGTTCTCCCATCTCTATTGTTGTTTCTGTTAATATCTCAGATATGATGGGACTTCTTTATCGGCATCAGAAGAACTGTGCATTGTGTATAGCAACCAGTTAAATTCTCCCTTTCATTCTTCCTGTGCAGGTCAGAAAATGAAATGGGTTCTGGTTGCTTTGCTCAACAAAGCTCTTTTTTTCAAACACATTTTCTAATGTTCTTTAGGACATTTCTTTTAAGAATGAATGTAATATAACCGTGAACATTTACTGAGTTTAGTTTCTGCAATGATGGAGTAAAGTCGATTTATATTGTGTCAAAACTGTGCTGATACCTCCACCCTTTGGAGATCCCCATTTTGCTCCTGGAGCAAATATGAGAATGCAGCCTATCCATATTGAAAACTGTAGCATTTTATGAATAATAAACCCACAACATGCAGGCTCCACATTAAAACGAAAAATGTATTTCAATGTGTGTGGAGATCAGTTGTGCTCTTATCCAATCAGATACAATTACTTAGGATATAGGAAAGGTGCTCTAACCCTTCATATTTAACTCTCCTGATATCAGTCTAGTGATTGGTAATGTTTTCTAGCTGAGGATTGCTGCATTTTGCACATACTTTTCTTTATGCGCTGAAAATTGGGTATATTAGGCACAGTGGTTTTAGAAAGTATTTATCTGATTTGGAGGCGACCACTTCTCTATAGCTCTCCACATTATGCAGGTATAGTGCTTTTCCCTGCAATATTTGTACACTGGAGTTTTTATTTTAAGAGAAATTTCAGTTTTGTTGGTAAAACTCCTCCAGGTCAACTATTTACATTGCAAAGACTTTAGCATACTTTGTGCAATCCTTATGGAGCTAAGGTCAAACTATGCAATCATTGATCTTTTTTCAACAAAGTGCTAAGTGGGGGTTTTCTGCTTAATGTGATCACAGGAATATTGCCAGTGTTAACTCATTTTTGATATGAGATTATTAAATAGATGGGTTATGTATTCTCATAATTGTAAATCAGTTCAAAATATTTTACATGTACAACCTTAATCTGAAACCAAGATGGTATGTGAAGTGGTTTATTATTGTAATTGTAAATATTGTATAATTTTTTTTAAAGGTGTAATATGTATTTAAATATTTTTTTAAGAATGGTTTACTGATTTGGGCTTTTACATGTTTTTACTGACATTCCAGTAACCAGAATACCCAGTTAAAGTGTTACTAAACCCAGGACCCTGTATTCACTCTATCTGGTCTCCCACAGCACATGGAAATGCAATTATTTTAGTAAATATAAACTGCTAAATACCTTTTCTCATGTGCAGCAGAGCACTGGTTAAAGCTTGTAGGAGGAGTTTTCTTTCTGCTCTAGGAGGATGCAGAATCCCTGACCTCTGTCTGGACAGTGCTGATTGGCCCTGTGCTGATCACTAGCACTCTTCCCAAGAGAAAAAAAAAAACCTCTAGCAATACACACCAAACTGAGCATGTGCACAGTATCTCCACACAAACTGAGCATGTGAGGGGGGGGGGGGGGTCACTGGAAGAAGGGGAGGATTAGAGAAGTCAGGACCAAACAGAGTTTTTAAACAATGCAGAGGATTAACCCTTTAGGTTCTACAGGGAGTATAACAAGCATGCTTTACTGCATATATAGACTGTTGTGGGTTTAGTAACACTTTAACATGTACTGTACAGTAGTTCTTTGTGTATTACAATAAACCAATGTCAGGTAAGGCTTCAAATATAATTCTCGACTCCATAGTCGAGGATCAAGTAAGAAGGTAATGCCCAAACTGACGTATGTGTTTGTGCTTGGGGAGAACTGTATAGATGAATTTTTATATTCAACCAAAGGAACATAAGCTGAACACTACTTTTAAACACAAAGGAAAGGTTCCATTGCCTACAGCAACCAGTCACATTACCATACGTTTCATTGCAAGAAAATGAGTGCAATATCAATGCAAATGCAACACTGTCGCAGTCATTTTTATGTATAATACACAATCGACATACTGGAGTGTAGAGACTGTTAATCCTGTATATATTGCACTGACATGGATTTACATCTTGTTTATAGCTTTGATATCATTTCTTTATCTGATTCAGCTATTTCTTACCCACTTCAATATTTCAGTTCTTGTATTTCCAGCCTTGAAAGTTAAACGTCAGGACTTGGTTAGCCTGTTGCTCTATTTAACAGCCAGTCAAGCAAAAATGTAAGCATGTGAAAGGGTATTCTACCCTGACAGTCATTAGGGTCATGATCTCGTGTCACGATGTGTATGGTGTTACATCCTAAGGCTACCTGAAGTATTTCATTTTAGCAAACTGAGCTAGTTTGTGTTGATCATAGTGCTGGCTTAAATGAAGCTTTTTTTTTAAGATAGTTCCTAGCTCATGGCCAATAATGTTGTACGTGGATTTATTCCTTTGGCAGCATAAACTTGTGTATTCTGACACCTTTAGTCATTATCCATCCATTTTTCTTTCTAAAAACATTAAGGTTGCCAGATGCTTGCAGAATGTATGTATCCTTGGTATGTTTTCAACCCACAGTACAAAATATACATGTACAAGGAAAATAGGAAATGTGCATTTGATATATTGAAAGCACTATTTATTGCTGTATCAAATTTGCCTTCCAAATGCTGGCAGATCAACTACATTAGGAGATCTAGCATCTGTCATTTAATGGCTAAACACTCTGTGATTATTGGGGGCTTTTTGCTGTACTTTAGGTGGATTTCCCTGACAGATTTTATGTGTCAAAACCTGAGCAAACAAGAACTAGAAAATATTCTTCGAGGGAGATGAGATAGTCCTATGACTTGGGCTGGCCATAAATGGGGAATATATACCTAAGAATTACAGTTGTGCAGAGAACTGACATATAATTTCAGGACTTTATTAGCAGAGGATCTTTCACTCTTCAAACTATTTCAACTCCCTATGTGTTTTGAGTACTTAGCATGCATTCATTTTGTGCACAGAGATCTTCCTGACAGTCATGTACAAAACCTATATTAAACCTGTATTTGCTTTATATAAACAGATGTAGTATTCGGGGTTTGACTGTATCTGAGATTCTAAAGATTTAGACTAGGTTTACACATCCAGTAGTGCATGCCGCTACATTCAAATTTGATCCATAGTGGGTCGATTTTCAGAGGCATTTGGTAAGCAGTTAGCAGGTTGAAATGTTGCCTCTTCACCGCCTTTTTAACCATGTAAATGCCTTGCCACCATGCTGCAACAGTGTGCAGTACAGCTCATTATTAACTTAAATGAGTCATATTTGGTACCAGTACTGCCCAGCAAATGGATGGGGGGGGGGGGTTAATTTTTGTTGAGCCTGCAAAGGAATGTGCTGTGGTATGAGTACACCCCTATCTGACTGCCTTTGTGGCTTAGGGAGACTGTTGGCGGGGTTAGGATGGGGTTGGGGGTGCCTGTTTTTTACCGTCCCCACAACTGCAAGTGTAAACAAGCCTTTGGTATGATTGACATCTTCTCTACAGATGACATGTTTGCATTAAACTTTTTTGCAAATTATGCTGTGGTCAACAAAAGGCTAATTTTGTGTTGTAATTAAAAATGTCATTTATAGTTGTTGTTAAGTAGGCACTAGGTGCAATCTTTATTTACTTAGCCCTGCCACATTTCACGAGTTTTCATTTTTCTTTTAAGTAACATCTAGCCCAGGTTCACACTGGATCCAACTTTGAAATTGTACGACTTCAGTTGGAGTTCAGCAGTTTCAAAGTCGCATGTCAGTGTCCTGTGTCACCTGAACTAGTGCAGGAACCTTTTTTTTTCTCATCAAAGTCGCACAGATTTGACTGGTTCCATTGCTGACAATAGGGTGCAATTTGAAACTGTCAAATCACATGACAAGTCCCACCAGTGTGAACTAGGGCTTACAGTACAATTTCTGTAGATAAGATCACCATACATATGTGGTAATATACTGTATGCTTTCCAGGGCAAACTTAAATATTTCTCCTGTTATTTCATAAGCACTAGAAAAGTGTTAAGTGGTTTACTTCACTGTCAAACGTATGAAGGTTACGTAAGGAAAAATAAGATACTCTGATCTGCAAATCCTTACACCATGCTAATAGATCACTGCTATGGCTTGTACTATCCTGGACCTTACACAAGTTAGGTTGATGTGCCGTATATCAGTATTATATGGCCAGGCAAAGTATCGATTTTTCCTTCTCTTCTTGTAAGTGTATATAAAATAATGGAAACAATATTTGTAAGCTAATGATTCTTTGCTTGATAATCATTTGATAATGAATCTTGTAGTGGGTTTTTATGCTTGAATTACACTAATACTGTGTATTAATATTAACTAAGTGAACTAAATGGGGAAAAATGTGTGTAATATCCTCAGTAGGGACATTAAACACAAATCGGGAATAGTGTTACAGTGTGACTCCAATTTACCATTCACAGTCATTGTAAAAGATTCTATTGCAAATATTGCCTCTCTATAAAGAGATCTATGCATAATCAGAGGGTATAGGCTTTGCTTAAATTTAAATTTCTGTCTGTGCAGAACAGAGTCCTGTAGTTGGCTTGGCCCCTGCTACATCCCATCCTCTACTTGGAAGTATATCCTTGGGCTGTTCTGAAGCAGGGTTAGTTAGAAAATTTAAATAAACCTTTCCTGGTAGAAACCTCAAGGCTGCCAAGCTTTTCTTTTTCTTGATTTTTAAACTGAACCGGCTTTAGCACCTTCTGTGTTGCTGATATGGAACAAGTATGTGGATAAGAATAAAATACGTGAACTCCTTATATTATATTATAGGTAATTGTTCTGGATTAGTAAATCAATGTACTAAAGCAGGGGTCTCCAAACTTTCTAAACAAGTGGCCAGTTTACTGTCCTTCAATCTTTAGGGGGGCCGGACTGTGGCCAGTGTGAGTAGAAATAGTCAGTGGCAGTGGCACACTGATGGCAGTGGGAGG